GGAGGCTGAGGCAGGAGGATCGCTTGAGCTCAGGAGTTTGAGGTTGCTGTGAGCTAGGATGATGCCACGGCACTCTAGCCCGGGCAACACAGTGAGACTCTGTCTCAAAAAAAAAGATTTATTATTGTCTTGTTCTAGCAATTATTTCTTTTTATTTTGATCCATCCTTTTTATCTAAAAGTCTACTTTTCTTTAGTGTCTAATTACTTCATATTTCTTATTTACTAGTATGCTAGAGTATTTATTTCTTCTAATAATCTTCTGGTTGTATGTTTTCCCTGCTCAGTTCTTAAAAATATTTATTTCATCAACAGTAGCTAGGGCCTCTCTTTAAGTTTGTTTCCTTTTTTCCCCTTCAAGTTTTGCTATTTGCTATTTTCTGCTTTCTTATCACTTCATCAAGTTTACTTAGACTTCCTTTCTTTTTCTCAAGATATTTATAATAGTATAGTACTTTTTGGGAAAACCTTATAATTTTCACAAGACTTTCTTTTCCCACTAGTTTATTTATTTATTTATTTTTTTACTGCTCTGGGCTATGGTCCACATAACAAACCATGATTAATGCCATCTATCTACCCGGCCTTTTCTCACTACTGAGAATCTTGATTTTTAAAATTTTTTTAAGAGATGGGGATCTTGCTATATTGCCAAGGCTGGAATGCTGTTCACGGTGTGATCTTAGTGCCCTACAGCCTTGAACTTCTGGACTCAAGTGATCTTCCTGCCTCCCCAAAAGCTGGGACTACAGGCACATGTCACTCCATCTGGGCAGAATTTTGATTTTTCTGTTTTGTTTTGTTTGTTTGAGACAGGGTCTTGCTCTGTCATACAGGTTACAGTACAGTGGCATCATCATAGCTCATGGCAACCACAAACTCCTGGGCTCAAGTGATCCTCCTGCCTCAGCCTCTCAAGTAGAGGCACCTGGGACTACAGGTGCATGCTACCACTCGTGGCTAAGTTTTCTACTTTTTATAGAGGTGTGGTCTTGCTCTTGCTCAGGCTGGTCTTGAACTCCTGGCCTAAGCAATCCTCTTACCTCAGCCTCCCAAAGTACTAGGATTACAGATGTGCGCCACTGCACCCAGCCAACAATTTTGATTTTATGCCTTACCCTTTAATGACTTTTAATTCCATAAAATAAAATCCAAATGCTTTTTTATCCATGGTGCATAAGGCCCTGGAAGATCTGGCTCCTACTGTTTCTTCCCCCGGCTGCTTTCCCCTCATTTACTACGCACCAACTGCACTGGCCTTGCTTCAGTTTCTGGACTCATTAAGCTGTGTCTCACTACAGAATCTTCACACATGCTGTCCTTGCCCCTATTTGTCATAGGGGACTCCCTCTCATATTTCAGATTTCAATTTAAATGTCATCTTTTCAGAAATACAATCTCTGATCATCTTATAGGTCTCTCCCTCCAAAGATAGCATCCTGTTTATTCCTTCATAGTACTTATTCAAATTTGCAATTATATATTTAATTGTTTACTTGTTTATTATTTATTTTTCATACCAGACTATAAGAGATGAGGTGGAATCATACATGCTTGTTTACCATTGTATCCCAGCACCTATTATACCAGTGGGAGCATCATACAGGCTCAATAAATATATGAATGAATGTCAGGACTGAATGACGAACCAAATGAGCAAAGAAGGAAGCTCATACTGACCAATCCATCAGCTATAGCATGCATACATCTGTTATTCCTACTAAGTACAGTATTCAACTTAGCATAATGCCTAGGAGGGTGTGAAGCATCCCTTCTAACCTCATAGGATAACTCCATCTAATAAGATAACTCTTCCAGTGATGAACATGTGCTCTCCTAGCATTTTTAGTGTTACAGACCCTGGAGATCAGGAAAGCAGTTCCTCATCTCTAACTTAGGCCTTCTCTATGGCAAATTACCATCACTAACTCTATAAAAATGAATTGGAAGCAGGACAAAATTTGTTCAGCCATGTCTTCATTTTCTGTGTGAGGGTATTTCATTGGGAAAATCTTTGTTTTACCTTTCTTCTGTCCTCTCATGAACCTCATCAACAATGATATGGGAGACTCCGTGTAGAGCCGTATCTCCTTCTAGCCTTCTCAGCAGCACTCCTGTGGTGCAGTACAATAGTCTGGTAGCTGAGGACTTAAACATTAAAGGGCAATATAAGGCATTAATGAAAGTTTTGAAAAAAGGAAACACTTTACTGGCAAGCCATTTTGAATGGGGATAAAGAATATTAAAAACCCCAGCAGTTCCTTTACCATGAAACCATACTAAATGTAGTTTCTTGCTGGGGACAATAACAAAAGCCTTTCTACTTCATATCAAAATTTTAAGATTTTCATAAAAAACATTGAATAATTATTATAAAACAAAAAAAGTGAGTGATGAAATCAATTCTGAATTTGCTCCTATTTGATTAAGTAGATTAATTTCTGGGTTCAAGAGCAAAACAGCATTTATGATCACTTCTGTCAATAAAGACTAAAAAAATTTAGTACAACCAAGTAAGAGTTTTTTTTTTTTTTTGAGACAGAGTCTCACTCTGTTGTCCAGGCTAGAGTGCCGTGGCATCAGCCTAGCTCACAGCAACCTCAAACTCCTGGGCTCAAGCGATCCTTCTGCCTCAGCCTCCCGAGTAGCTGGGACTACAGGCATGCACCACTATGCCTGGCTAATTTTTTCTATATATATATTTTAATTGTCCAGCTAATTTCTTTCTATTTTTAGTAGAGATGGGGTCTCACTCTTGCTCAGGCTGGTCTCGAACTCCTGAGCTCAAACGATCCATCCTCTTCGGCTTCCCAGAGTGCTAGGATTACAGGCGTGAGCCGCTGCACCCGGCCCAAGTAAGAGTTCTTATACCAAAATATTTCTAAAAGGACTTCAGCCCTACCAAAGGTTAATATAAAATAACCTGAGAGGTTATATTCTAAATTGCCCATGAATCTCCTGACCCACAAAACTCTTTATATATATATATACTTATAGATGAAAGCTGAAAATTATAAATTTCTATTACCAGGAAATAAACAGAGCATACAAACCTTGACACTTTCTAACCGAATCTGGTATCCCACGGTCAGACCCACTCTCTCTGCTCTTTCTTTAGCAACACGTTCAGCAACAGAGATGGCAGAGATTCTTCGGGGTTGGGTACAGACGATATTAGCCACCTTGTCAGGTGGCCCGTTCAGAGAATCATCCAGAATAAACTGTGGAATCTGTGTAGTTTTCCCACATCTGTATGTCAAAACAAATAAGTCGTAAAATGAAGTTTTCAAGGGCTAGTTAAGAAGCAATCATATGCAATGAAGAAAGTAATAAAGCTAATTAGAATAAAGTTGTTTACCTCCATGTTATCTTCTAAAATTACCTACTGACTTATTACCTAGAGCTGAGCGATTCTAGGAATTTGCACTCAGATTAAAAGGGCAATCGAATAATAGTTTTGTATCATTTGTAAAATTGGGACTATTGAACAGACATCAGATTAAGGTCTGTAAATGTCTCTAGGAATGTGAACTCTACATATGAATCCTAAAGAAGGAGTATTAGTTTATGATTTTTAAAATATTTTATATTTTGATATATATTGATTTCGCTATAATTAGACTGAGGTTAAAAAGATAAACTAGAAGATACAGGAGTACTACTATATCAGTGAGCCTGAGCACAGATGTAATTATTAAACTGTATACTCTTGAATAAAGAACTAAATTAGGCCTGCAACTTGCCCCTACTTAATAGGTTTGCATAATATATGGAGAGTGTGAAATAGGAAAAATAAGGCACCTTAACTTGTTCTTAAAAGAAAAATAAAAATATAAGGAAATCAGAATAAATTCAGAAGATTAAAAGCTTTCAAGCTAAATGTTCGAGAACTACCCTTTCGATTTAAAAATGGGCCTTGTTAAAAGTCTTCAGCCGGATCCCTTGCCTTAAAATTGTCTCAGGGTAGAGGTATACAATGTCTGTAAATTCCTAGATAGATTTCTGAGTTTTGTTTTTGTTTCTAGTAATTTGGCTCTGTTGGCTACAGAAGTTGCAATAACAGCCTTTATGAAATATTATTTAATATTTGATAGGAAAAAGTGCACATAACCTCAGCTACAGGTTTTTTAGAAGTAGAACTGGTTATGATAACCAGAGTACATATAATATTTACAGACAGAAGTTGCATTATGTATAAACTGCATTCTTACCCGGTCATACCACTTATGACAACCACTTGGTGCTTGCTCAGCAATTTAAGAATGTTTTCTCTTTCTTCCCAGGCAGGTAGTGATTGTCTTTCTTGCAAAATAGACTGGAACTGTCTGGAAGCCTAATAAAATCAAAGACAGGGCATCAGTTGGTTACTTTTAATCACCTTTCATAAAGCTCTGTATCAAGATTCCATAGTTAGACCCACCCTTTCTGGTCTTCCTTTAACAATTTATTCAGAGGCAGAAATTGTAGAGATTTATTGGGATCAGGTGCAGATGACTTTAGTTAGAAGGTTGCTCAGAGAATCAGCCAGAATAAGCTGTGGAATGTATATAATTTTCCCACATCCGAATAAACTGTAAGATCTTGTAAGTGAAATAAACTCCTCTTCCTTAGCACCTATCCAGCTCTTCCTAGCAAGAGTCTGTATACCTGCACTGTCCAATATAGCAACTGTTAGCCACATGTGGCTATTGAGCACTTGAAATGTGGATAGTGCTACTGAGGAATTGAATTTTTAATTTTAATTAATTAATAGCAATATATATTTTTTTGAGACAGGGTCTCACTCTGTCACCCAAGGTAAAGTGCAGTGGCATGATCATAGCTCGATGCAACTTCAAATTCCTGGGCTCAAGGGATCCTCCTGCCTAAGCCTTCTGAGTAGCTAAAACTACAGGTGTATGCCACCACGCCCAGCTAATTTTTAAAATATTTTGTAGAGACAGGGTCTCACTATGTTGACCAGGCTGACCTCAAGCGATCCTCCCACCTCAGCCTCCCGAGTAGTTGAGGCTACAGGTGTGCACCACTGTGCACCTCTCCAAATCACAGTATTAACATTCCTTTAACATATCAGATTGTCTGTCATAGCACCTAAAGCACATGATTTGGAGAATATTTGGTACATATGTGTGCATTTGCTATTTACAAGCTGTAGAATTTTCCAAAACCATCTAGCACATGCACCCGTTTGCTGTGGCAAGTAGAAACTTTGAACACTCGGTAAAAGAGAACCAAAAGGATACAAAGGAGAGCAGCCAAAGCTTCCTAATTCCTCACGACTTTATCCAGACATTAGGGAGTTGCTAGTCATTCTCTCAGCATGCCCTACCTGTTTTATTCGGAACTGCTTGCAGATTTTACCATTTTCAGCATGTACTGACTTTGCCTGCCAGTCATATCTTTTGGAAATCTTTTTCTTAAGGTTCACATAGCTTTCATTCTCAACTATAACTGGTGCAGGACCTTCATCCTCATCTGCCTCCTCCTCAGGTTCTGATTCTTTTTCAACTTAAAGGAAATAAAAGGAAACATTTTCAATATGGAGCCCTTTCTTTAGCAAAGGGGGAAAGTCACTGCTTAACAAAGTAACAACAAAATCATAAAATGGAGGGAAAGGTTAAAGCTTGAATAAAGTAGGTTCATTCAAGTGAATACTACTACTTCTACTGCTAAAGAACTTAAAATGCATCCTCAAATAAACTTTAATCAAGTATAAGTGGTTATTGTTAAACCAAATGAAAAACAAAGGAATTAACATTCAAGGAATTAACAGTGAATGTTTCAACTATTTGCAAGTGTCCCCAAAATTCCATGACACAAAACAACCCAAATGTCTATCAAATGGTGAATCAAACAAAATGTGGTATGTCCACCTAATGGAATATTATTCAGTAATAAAAAAGAATGAAATACTGATACATGCTAGGACATGGATGAACCTGAACACATTATGCTAAGTGAAAGAAGCCAGTCTCAAAAGCCACATATTGTATGATTCCTTTTTTTTTCTTTCCAAGCTGAGGCTTTCTACTATGTATGATTCCTATGCAATGTCCAAAATAGGCAAATCCATAGTGATAGACTACAGATTAGTGGTTGTCAGGGGCTGGAGAAAGGGGGAAATAAGGAGAGATTTCTAATGAGTACAGGATTTTTTTCTGAGATGATGACAATGTCCTGGAATTAGAAGGTGGTGATGTTTGCACAACTCTATAAATATACTAAAAACCATTGAATTGTATACTGTAACAGGGTAAATTTTAGGGTATGTAAATTTTATCTCAATCAAGCTGTTATTTTTTTTTTTTAAAGTCCATGACACATAATTTGTCATTCCCCAAGGAAGACATTTGAATCCCATGTGCTAGAAGCTGGCATATGGGAGTGAGTCAGGTGGCTGTGAGTGACCTTAGCTAACGGTCCAGCATCCACATCTCACTGTTCTCTACTTATTGACATTTACCCAGGAACTCCTGTGAAATAACAAGAACTTTTGTTTCTCTAGAAGAAAGATGGCAACAAATAGGAGATAATTCTTTATAAAAGCTGAAAAGGGGTTTGCTTGTGGTGTAAGAATCTGCACAGCAAATCCAGACCTGGACAAAACCAGAAGCTTGCTCAAGCTAATTTTTTTTTTTTGAGACAGCGTCTTGCTCTATCTCCTGGGCTAGAGTGCAGTGGCATCATCATAGCTCACTGCAACCTCAAACTTCTGGGCTTAAGCAATTGTCTTGCCTCAGCCTTCCCAGTCGCTGGGACCACAGGCATGTGACACCAAGCTTGGCTAATTTTTATATTTTTTGTAGAGATGGGTCTCGCTCTTGCTCAGGCTGGTCTCAAAATCCTGACCTCAAGTGATCCTTCTGCCTCAGCTTCCCAAAGTGCTAGGATTACAGGTGTGAGCCACTATGCCTGGCCAAGCATTTCTTTATTTAAGAATTTAGGAATTCATAAAGATAGCCCTATTGTAATGAATGTTGGGGGTCTAGTATACTAAAAGCAGTGGTATAGAAAGAAAAGTATCTCTAAACTCATTTGAAAGTAATACCAGATTACAGTATAAGGAGTAAACATATGAAACCAAATGAATTAAATGAAACAGATTTTCTGAGAAGGTGCCTTAAGGGTCTTCCAACCCTCAGATTTAATACAGCTAAAAAAATTTATATACCCCTGCAAACTTTCAATTCAGGGAACCCCAAAACAGTGACACAATTGGGCCTCACAATTAAAGACAGGCATGATGACAGTTGAGGGGATTCTCATTCCCTTTGCCCGTGGGACTGAACGACTTGCTCAAGATCACTGGGTGATCCTACACCAGCCTCAGAAGCTTGACTTCTAAATCCATCATCCTATTCTGAATGCCCCTCTCCACAATGCCCTTCACGTGATCAATGCCTTACATACCTTCCGGAATTTGATTCGAAACAAAAGAATTATTTGGAATCACTGGTTTATGATAGGCAGGATTATTTATTCTGGTCCCAGAGGATACTGGCAGAAAGTTCACAGGAGGAACGCTATACTTGTGATGGGTATTTGTTAGTAACTTGACTATTTCTGATTCTTCCTCTAAAAGAGTTATTAAAGAATATACAGCGGGTTCCGAAGTTTCTGCAAATGTCAAGGCCTTGCTGTAAAGGAACTCAGAAATATGTAAACGGCAAGCCAGAGGTAGATTCTCATTGGTGGAATAAAATGCCACAAGGGGAGCTTGGTAGGGATATTTGTGGTCTTTACAAAATCGAATTTCAAGTTCATATAAAAAAGATGCATCTTCATTAGCATTAAGATGAGAATCATCCACATTTCTTTCTATTCTTCCAACAATTTGATCTGGGGGCACTTCATGTTTGAATTTGCATTTTGATCCAAATTTGCAATTTCCTTTGAGGTAAAATTTACAGACTTCAAGTGCAGTCTCTTGTACATTTTTGGTACTATCCCTTTGCTTGAATTTGCAGAATTTATTTGTCAAATACTCCAGTTCTAATCCAATGGTCCAGACTCTGTTCTGAATTCTTTCTATAAATTTTTCTCCACAGATTGACTTGAGAGCAAATGCCTCTTCCTGCCGCTGTTCCACACACTCATCCAAGCATATATGGTCGACTGCTTCAGAGAGCTTCATCCTCTCTCCAAATGTCTCTGAAAAACACTGGGTAAGCAGAAGCTCTAGTGATGCCCCCACATCTCCATCACAAATCCTCAGGGCTGCTTGACAGTGTTCAATATGAAAACCATACCTGTCAAAGGCAAAACATGACAAAAAGACATGTACAAAGTAATATCCCATCACTGAAGTGAAATTCATTTAAATATGCTTATATTGAATTATAACTATATATAGGTAGGGCTCATATTTTGAAAAAGCATCCCTGATAATATTAATACTAAACCCTCCTTAATCTCCCCCCATCCTGTAAAATAGAATATTAGGCATATCAGGCCTGCTGGAACCCATTTATAAGAAAGTGCACAAGAAGGGGTAGTTGGATTTATGTGATTTCACTTTCCTTGAATTCCTCCCTAACTCCCATAAATGATGAAAGCAATCACCTGGAAAGTTTTTGCACTGCAAATGGCGATACTGTACGTTCTGGAATACGAGGCTCCGCTGGGGCTGAGCCGGCATATTCCAAAGGATCGGGGTCAGGAACAAGGGAAGGTTCTTGTCCAGCTGGCCAGTACCGCTCATCATCACAACATTCAGGCTCATCATCTTCCTCCTCCCCAGAAATGCCTCTTCTAGCAAAGGTAACATTTTCATGTATTAGATAACAATTTCTACTTACTTTAAAGACAAAGTTAGCAAGGGTCTAAGAATTTAATTCAAGGAGCCAAGGACATAGGTTCCTGACTATTCTTCACTTGCTTATTTAATCTTTCATTGATTGAACTGTTAATTTATATCTTGGCAATTAACATTTATCAGACATTTATTCAATGCCAGGTACTGTGTTAAGTGTTCTGTATGTATTAACTCTTTTAATTTTCCAAGTAACTCCAACGGGTACTATTGGAATCTCCATTTTTCAGATGATCAACTAAAAAGAGAGGATTAGTAACTGTCTGAGGGTACACAGTAAGGAGCAACTAGAAATTTTACCCAAGGCAGTCTGACCCCAGAGCCTGTGTTCTTAACGATAGAAACCTTGGCTATCCTGTCTCTCTTCTCATCCATAAAAAATATCCCTGATTTTTAGATTTGCAGCATAATCCTCTTTCCTAAATCTGAGACAGATAAGAGATTTATACATAGGATGGAAATGGAGCTGTTCAAGACTAACCGCTAGTTAATTATGGAAAATAGAAAAAATTAACTTCTCCAAATGAAATCACAAAGCAAAAGAGTCAAAATGCAATTGGGGGTGTGGGGAAAGACTAAGATTTAAAAGTAAAAGCTGCTTCTCTTAGGCAGATGGTCATGAAAATGAATCTTAAGACTTTATCTGACCAACTCAGTATTTGATACTAGAACAACAGTTCTACTTGTTTGTTGCAAGGTTTTATTTGGATGGTTATAGATAAAGCAACTACTGAATCCATATTAGTACTGTCCTGGAAAAAAAATAAAGATAAAAAAGCAATCTATATTATTATTATTATTATTATTATTTGAGACAGAGTCTCACCGTGTTGCCCCGGCTAGAGTGTCGTGGCGTCATCCTAGCTCACAGCAACCTCATACTCCTGGGCTCAAGTGATCCTCCTGCCTCAGCCTCCCGAGTAGCTGGGACTACAGGCATGTACCACCATGCTGGCTAATTTTTTCTATATATTTTTAGTTGTCCAATTAATTTTTTTCTATTTTTAGTAGAGATGGGGTCTCACTCTTGCTCAGGCTGGTTTCGAACTCCTGAGCTCAAACAATCTGCCCGCCTCGGCCTCCCAGAGAGAGCAATCTATATTATTGCTCATGGGTGTTGCAGAACAAACACTCTAAGACCATGGCTGAATAATTCTTCGTGTATTTCTCTTGGCTCACTTTCAACTAATTATATAGCCATAACAGGATCAGTGTTGATACAGTATTCCAAAGACTCATAGGATCTTTACACTGCGGCCACATCTTTCTTAACATAATAATTTACTCAAATAAAATAATTTACTCAGATCCAGCATCAACATCTTGTTCCTGCAGGTCTCGGAGAAGAGCCTTCACTTTCTCTTGATTCTCAGAAGTCATGTGTAGAGTCTGAAGGGGCACTTTGGCTTTGGGTTTCCATTTGGGGCGCGCCTCTCCTTTGCTTATGCTGCTGTTGCTAGGTCTGCAAAGGACACGGAGGAAAATTGCACACTTACTTGTGATCAGAACTTTCACACTCTCTTCAGAGTCCCCAAATATGTACAACACAAACTAGATGGTCAAGTATCTTACAAAAGATGACAATGAATGTAAAGAGATTCTCCATTTTCTACAGTAGTGGTCCCCAACCTTTTTGGCACCAGGGACTGGTTTCATGGCAGACAATTTTTCCATGGCCTGGGGCTGAGGGGTGGTTTTGGGATGATTCAAGCACATTACATTTATTGTGCAGTCAAACCTCTCTGCTAATGATAATCTATTTGCAGCCGCTCCCCAGCACTAGCATCACCACCTCGGCTCCACCTCAGATCATCAGGCATTAGATTCTCATAAGGAGCGAGCAACCTAGATCCCTCGCATGCAACAGTTTACAGTAGGGTTTGTGCTCCTGTGAGAATCTAATGCTGCTGATCTGACAGGAGGTGGAGCTTATGCAGTGATGCCGGCGATGGGGAGTGGCTGTAAATACAGATGACGCTTCCCTGCTCAACCACCACTCACCTCCTGCTATGCCACCCGGTTCATAGCCAGAAAAGGGGGTGGGGGAACTGTAGTTCTATTCTATGGTATTTGGGTTGGGGACCACAGTTCTATAGTATTTATCAGACTTCATTATATTGGAACTGCTGGAAAAAACTGATCAAATTCTTAATCACTGAATCTGGATTCACTAACCCAAGAATCCTCTGGACAAAGCAATGCTAATGATGACTCTCCCTCTGCACTATAGGGCTATGAAGAAATAAGCTACACACAAAGAGTATTTATTTCATTCTATATTAGGTACCCAATCTGAAAACAATTGAGTTCCATCTTTCTTGTGAATATTAGGCCCTATTCTTCAAATATTCAAATTACCATTATTTCCTGATTATAAAAATAATAATAATAAACACATGCTCACTGTAGAAAAGTAAAGAACAAAGAAAACAAAAGTCACCCCAATCGCATTATTCTGTTTCATATATATTTTTAATATACTGATACAGCATATGCAATCTTTTATAATTTGCTTTATTTTTTATCAAATAGCACTGATCTTTCCCTAAAATTAAATATTCTCCTATAACATAACTTCAAATGGTTACATATATAGATTTATTGAATTTTTTCCACCAATCTTTCATTGTTGTAATTTAGATTTTTTAGGGACTCTTAAATATTTAAAACAATAAGTTCTAAAGTTTAACTTTATTCATTAATTCATCAATTTCACTTTTTTCTTTGGCACATTTCATTATAAATTTTCACAAATCTTGTCTCAGTGTGCCAATTTGTAAAATATATATTTTTAAAAATTTTCAATTTGGGGGGAAATGGAAGAAAATTTCTCTTTATTTACAATTCAACATATTATTGAGACTTTGAAAAGAACCACACAGTTACACTTGCAAAACTGGGTAGCAGAGGAAAAAATTGAATCAATTAGAGTTTTTAACCACTTCTGAAGTGTTACCCCAAATCCATCATTTCCCCTAATTTTTTGTTTTGAAAAATTTTAAACATTCAGAAATAATCCTTTTACCTAGATTCACCAATTGTTAACATTTGCCATACATATATGCATGTACATACATACTCGCGCATGTTTCTCTTCCTCATTCTACCTCTCTCTATATGCATACTTATATGCCTCTATATATGCCGCTCTCCATGTACACGTATATTTATACATTGATGAAAACCATCTGAATGTAAGCTGTAGACATCATATTCACCCTTAAATACTTCAGCATGTATTTCCTGAGAACAGAGATTTAATCTTACATAACCACAATACTATTATCATTCTTAAGATATTTTATATTAATACAATATTATCTAATATACAGTCCATATTTAAATTTCCTAATTTTGTTCTAATCACGTCCTTTATAGATTTTTTTGATTGAGTAGCCAATCAAAAAAAAATTCAGTTTTTTTTTCAAACTCTTTAAATTTAGAACAGTTCCCCTATTTCCTGACGTTGACTCTTTTGAAGAGCTCATGCCAGCTGCGTTGTAGAAATTCTAACAATTTGGATTTGTCCGATCATTTCCTGATTGGTAAAAACGGAGAAGGGGAGAAGTTTCACATGCTATCTCATCCCCTACTTATTTGTATACCCCTACACTTTACCCTCCTTGTTACCCTCCTGTGTTACTAAGGATGAACCATCCTTGATCTTAAAGTCAAACCCTCTATTTGTACACTATGTCTCAATCTCTTTAATCTCCTCAATGAAATCACTCCAGCACTTATCCCCCCTTCTACATCATCAGTTCTTCACTCTCCTTTGGATCAGACAAGTCGGCTTACAACATGCTATATAATGTCTACCATCTTACAAAATCAAACCAAACACATCCTCCCTTGACTGCATGTTCCTATAGCTATTGTCCCATCTTTCTTCCTCCTGCCCCCCTTGTAGTAAAACTCAAATAGCTTATCAAAATCATTGTCTCTGTTTTCACTTTCTTTCTTGTTCTCTCTGACTCTGAAGCACACTTCAATCAGGGTTTCCTCCCCACCAACTGTACTAATACAGCTCTCTCTTTTTTTTTTTGAGACAGAGTCTCACTCTGTTGCCCGGGCTAGAGTGAGTGCCGTGTCAGCCTAGCTCACAGCAATCTCAAACTCCTGGGCTCAAGCGATCCTTCTGCCTCAGCTTCCCGAGTAGCTGGGACTACAGGCATGTGCCTCCATGCCTGGCTAAATTTTTCGATATATTTTTAGTTGTCCAGCTAATTTCTTTCTATTTTTTTAATAGAGGTGGAGTCTCGCTCTTGCTCAGGCTGGTCTCGAACTCTTGAGCTCAAACAATCCGCCCGCCTCAGCCTCCCAGAGTGCTAGGATTACAGGCGTGAGCCACCACACCTGGCCCCTAATCCAGCTCTTGTCAAGGTTACCCATGATATCCATATTGCCAAACCCAATGGACAATTCTCAGTGCACACTTTTCTTGACCTAAAAAAATAGTTTTTTTTTTTTTTTTTTTTTTTTACAAATGCATGTCCCCTTGAAGTATCCAATTTAATCTGATTGCATATTCTCCTTTAAAACATTTTCATCCCTTGGCTTCCAAAAACCATACTCTCTTAGTTTTTCTCCAACTTCACTGGCAACTCCTTCTCTCAATCCCCTTTGTTTGCTTTTCGTACTCTCTTTTAGCTTTATTTATTTTTTAAATTAAAATAATTACTGATACATAATAATTGTACATACTTATGGGGTACATGTGACATTTTGATACATGCATACAATGTGTAATGATCAATCAGGGCAATTAGGATAGCTATCACCTCAAATATTTATCATTTCTGTATTGGGAATATTCCAAATCCTCTTAGCTTTAAAATCTAGAGTGTCCCAGGGCTTAAACATCACATATCTTCTCTATTTGATTTCATCCAGTCTCAGAATTTTAGATACCATTTATTCATACAAGACTCACACATTTACGTTTCTAGCCTAGATCTTTTTCCTGAACTCCAGATTTATACATTAAATTATTTATTTGATATCTCCACTTGGAGAGCACCTCCTAACTGGTCTCCCTGCTTCCCCATAGTCTATTTTCCACATAGCACACTGAGTGAGGGCTACTGAGTATGGATGCACGAATTGTACACTACACAAAGGTTCCTGGCTGGGTAGCAGAATAGGGAGAAGGGGACAGAAAAATCCAGTCCATGTTCTATGTGCCAAACCATGCATCCTGGTGTAAGGCTATAACTGTCCAAAGGAAAGGGCACCATTTTCTAAATAAAGGCACATATTGAATAGCAGCAACTCTGGCCAGAGTGACTGATAATGTCATACACTCTTGCCTCAAACCCTGCAATGGCTTTTCATCTTATTCAAAACAAAAGCCAAAGTCCTTATAATGGCCCATAAGGTCCTATACAGTCTAGTCTCTCTGATCTAACTGCCTACCACTCTCCTTCTTGCCTACCCACTCTAGCCACATGGTTCTTTGCCATTTCCTAAACCTTCTAGGCCTACTCCTGGCTTAAGGACTTTGGGCTTGCTATTCCCTCTGCCTTGAATGTTCTTCCCTCAGATAGCTTCATAGCTTACTCCTTCACTTTCTTATCTCTGTTCAAGTGACATTGATTAGAGAGATTTTCTACATAAAATAGCCACCCTATTTTGGGAATTTCTACCCCTTTTACTCTCCTTTATTTTTCTCCATAGCATTTAACACCTGATATGTTAAATATTTGTTTACGGTTTTTCTACCTCAAACCCCCTTCTATGAAGACAAGGACAATATTTTACTTAACTGTTGTAATTCTAGTCCCTAAAACAGCGCCTGATGCATAGTAGGCAATCAGTAAATATTTGCTGAATGAATGAACATCTAAGAACTCTAGGAACCTATAATGTCTATGTTTTGAAAAACAATGAAGCTGCAGACAACTCAGAAGTTAGGTTCTTTTTTTTTTCTGAGACAGAGTCTCACTCTGTTGCCCTGGCTAGAGTGAGTGCTGTGGCGTTAGCTTAGCTCACAGCAACCTCAAACTCCTGGGCTCAAGTGATCCTACTGCTTCAGCCTCCCGAGTAGCTGGGACTACAGGCATGCGCCACCATGCTCGGCTAATTTTTTCTATATATTTTTAGTTGTTCGATTAATTTCTTTCTATTTTTAGTAGAGACGGGGTCTCGTTCTTGCTCAGGCTGGTTTCGAACTCCTGAGCTCAAACGATCCGCCCGCCTCGGCCTCCCAGAGTGCTAGGATTATAGGCGTGAGCCCCCGCGCCTGGCCAGAAGTTAGATTCTTAAGTCAATAGATAAGGTGAAAAAATGTAATTTAAAATTACTCTGAAAGAGTCCTTAAAAAGGTGGCAAATTTGAGACATATATTATCTCTCAAAATGTCCAAAATGACCACTTTTATTCTAGAATGGAAAAACATGTAAATTCTCTGGTTGAATATCAGATGAAGTTATTTGGTTATTTTAGGGACCGTGTATGGGAACATGTTACCATGTAGGGAACATACAGTTAAATCTTAAAATCACATACTGCAGCAAGAGATTTAAACTACAAATACTTGGAAACTGAAATTGACCGAGGGAATAAGATTCCTCTCTCCATATGTTGTTCACTATGGGCCCAGATTCACTTAGTGGAAAGCTAAACAATTTAAATGCTATTTGCTTCTCTTTTTCAGTTTTTTCCAAATACATACAGTTGAATTCATTTATATTAAAAGCATGTATTAGGTTGGTGCAAAAATAATTGCAGTTTTAGCATTGTTGAAATTTGCCATGATATTGGAATACATTCATAAATAAATGTGGTTATGTTATAAATCACTTTAATGCATATTTCTCACTTTATTTTTTTTTTGCTAATGAAATTACTTGCTGTTTATTTTATATTTATTTTAGACTATGGAAATGATGTTAGACAAAAAGCAAATTCAAATGATTTTCTTATTTGAGTTCAAAATGGGTTGTAAAGCAGCAGAGACAACTTGCAACATCAACAACGCATTTGGCCCTGGAACTGCTAATGAACATATAGTGCACTGGTGGTTCAAGAAGTTTTGCAAAGGAGATAAGAGCCTTGAAGATGAGGAGCGCACTGGCCGGTCACCGGAAGTTGACAATGACCAATTGAGAGCAATCATCGAAGCTGATCCTCTTACACCTACACGAGAAGTTGCCGAGGAACTCAACATCGACCATTCTATGGTCGTTTGGCATTTGAAGCAAATTGGAGAGGTAAAAAAGCTCCATAAGTGGGTGCCTCATGAGCTGACCAAAAATAAAAAAAAAAAAAAATCATCCTCTTCTCTTATCGTACTCAACAACAATGAAACATTTCTAAATCGGATTGCGAAATGCGAAGAAAAGTGGATTTTATACGATGATGACAACTGGCGACAACCAGCTCAGTAGTTGGACTAAGAAGAAGCTCCAAAGCACTTCCCAAAGCCAAATTTGCACCAAAAAAAGGTCATGGTCACTGTTTGGTGGTCTGCTGCCAGTCCGATCCACTACAGCTTTCTGAATCCTGGTGAAACCATTACATCTGAGAAGTATGCTCAGCAAATCGATGAGAGGCACCAAAAACTGCAACGCCTGCAGCCGGCATTGGTCAACAGAAAGGGCCCGATTCTTCGCCACGACAACCCCTGATCGTGAGCTGCACAATCAGCACTTCAAAAGTTGAATGAATTGGGCATTGGGCAACGAAGTTTTGCCTCATCCGCCATATTCATCTGACCGCTCACCAACTGACTACCACTTCTTCAAGCATTTTGACTTTTTGCAGGGAAAATGCTTCCACAACCAGCAGGATGCAGAAAATGCTTTCCAAGAGTTTGTTAAATCCTGAAGCATGGATTTTTACACTACAGGAATAAACAAACTTATTTCTTGTTGGCAAAAATGTGTTGATTGTAATGGTTCCTATTTTGATTAATAAAGATGTGTTTGAGCCTAGTTATGACTTAAAATTCATGGTCTGAAACCGCAATTACTTTTGCACCAACCTAATATGATGCAGTTAAACTGCAGCATTCATCTATATTCCTTTCTAACTAATATTTTGTTGAGTTATTCCATGAATGAGGGTGTACTGTGTATGTGTGTGTGTGTGTGTGTGTGTGTAGCTTTAAAGAAGTCTATCACTAAAAGTTCTGGTAAGCAGCTCATAGTGCAGTTTGAGAGTAAATAAGAATTTTCTGGTCATGCACCACATAATGACATTTTTGTCAATGATGGACCACATATACTACAGTGGTCCAAGAGATTATAATGGAGCTGAAAATTCCTATTGCTTAGTGACGTCGAAGTTGTCATAACATCACAGCGCGATGCATTACTCAGGTGTTTATGGTGATGTTGGTGTAAACAAACCCACTGTGTCACCAGTCACATAAAAGTATAGCACATACAATTACGTACAGTACATAATACTTGATAAAGATAATAAATGATTATGTTACTAGTTTATGTATTTACTATACAGTTGTCCCTTGGTTATCTGTCCCTTGGTTCCAAGACCTCCCTCAGATTCCAAAATCTGCAGATGCTCAAATCCCTAATAGAAAATGGCCTAGTGTTTGCATATAACCTACGCATGTCCTCCTGCATACTTTAAATCATCTCTAGATTACTTATAATACTTAATACAATGTAAATGCTATGTAAATAATTGTTATACTATATTGTTTAGGAATAATGACAAGGAAATATAGCCTGTATATATTCAGTACAGACATAACCATCCAATGATTCATTTTTTTCCCTAAATGTTTTCAATTTGTGGTTGGTTGAATCCACGAATGCAGAACCCATGGGCACGGAAACACAGATACAGAGGACCAACTGTATTTTATTTATTTTATTTTTTTTAGAGACAGGATCTCACTCTGTCAGAGTACAGTGGCCTGATCATAGCTCATTATACCTTGAACTCTCAAACTCCTGGGCTTAAGTGATCCTCCTGCCTCAGCTTCTGAAGTAGCTGCGACAATAGGCACATACCAACATACCCAGCTAATTTTTAAAATGTTGCCAAGGCTGATCACGAACTCCTGGCCTCAAGTGATCCTCCCGCCTCGGCCTCCCAAAATGCTGGGATTATAGGCATGTGCCATCATGCCTGGCCCATTTTTTATCTTTTATATCATATTTTTACTGTACTTTTTCAATGGTTAGATATGTTTAGATACACAAATACCATTTTGTTCCAAGTGCCTACAATATTCCATATAGTAACATGCTGTACAGGTTTGCAGCCTAGGAACAATAGGTTATACCATTTTGCCTAAATGTGGTATAGTAGGCTATATTGATGTGTAGTAGACTACCTTATCTAGGTTTGTTTAAGCACACTCTATGATGTTTGCACAATAACGAAATCACATAAACACATTTCTCAGACCATATCACCCTCATTAAATGATTCATTGACTTAACATGCAGTAGTAAAATCTTTAATGTTAACAAATACTCATTAGAATTACCATAATTCTCATAGTTTATTCATTAGCTAAAAGTTGAATATGAGAGAAGCCTAGATGTGACATCTGTTACTATTTACCACATATATAAAACACCATCAAATCATGGCTGATCTGGCTGGAAAACATACAGCTCATTAACTAGAAAGAGTATAGTCAGGTTGCACTTTGGGCTCTTCAATTTTTAAAATCAACCTATGACACCTTAGGAACATTTTAAATAATTTTAATTACTTTCACCATTTCCAGTATTTACTTTCCCAGTAACATTGGATATAGTGGCAGTATTACACTCAATTCACAGTGTCTTGTGGGAGTTAAAGTTAACTTCAGATTTCAACCTACACACCCATACACACACTGTTATCTACCACCATGCCTTTAGAAAAGGTTACAAAGAGAAGGACTACCAAGTCTTAATAAGACTTACAATTAAATGGACCAGAATAACTTCATATTTTTTTTCCTCTTAGCCATCTGTTGTCCATACATTAGGAACTGATACTGTTTCCATACTTAAAAACATTTAAAGATTATAATGACCTGGATGAATGCCTTGAGTCACTGAAGATACAGAAGTCGTCTCCATCATCCCAAATTCTATTCGAGGCCTTTCTATTGCCGCTGCCACCACCGCCACCGCCACCGCCACCACCACCGCCACCGCCCCCGTGAGATTTACTAGCGTGACTCCTGCCTCCTCTTCCTCCTCTAGAAGACCCTTTTCCACCTCCTTTGCCTGGCTTGCCTTTTCTTCTTACTGAAGAACTCATTTTCACCTGCAAGAGAAAAAATTAATATAGACATCATAAAACTAGACAAGTATAATAATGTTTTCTGAAACTTATGGATATAGGTGTTAGAGCCGGTTCCCCTCGGCCCCAGGAACAGAGAGGCAGAGTCACCGAGGCTGCAAATGGCAAAGGAGTTTATTGGCTAGCTCGAGCTAGGGTCCAAATCCCAGAGCACCAACGCAGTGGCCTCTTCTAAGGGCTAGGACTCCGCCTTGGGGTAGAGGTTAAGCTTTTATACCTTTTTCTGTTTTACACACGACACACAGGTTTCACACGACACGCTGGGCACACCTTCCCCCCTCCTCTCCTTAGTTCATTGGTTCCTTTAAAAGTGGCTGATCGTGTTGGCTCCTGACTGGCTCCTTAAAAGTGGCTCCAAGCCTCGGGATTTTCGTGTCGGCGCCAATTGTGGTCAGCGTCATTTCGGGGAAAGGGCGGTGTCGTATCGGGAAAACCGAAACTTAGGCCTACTCCACGAAGTTCAGCCTGTCATGGAGTCGCTCCTGCTCTTATTCCTGTTTCTGATTAACTACATTTAACAAACAACTAAAAGCAAGCACGGTCACAGAAGCAAACAGCATCAGTTAGAATCAGAGAGAGCGCATTTTTCTCTAATCTCTAATCTTAAACAATTTGTCTCACACAAAGCAAAGTATATTCTCCTACTATCAATTCCTGTTTTTCATAGGCTACTTTAAAGTAATAAAGGAAAATGCAAATTTTAAAAAGGCTGGTCTTAGAGCAGGATTTCAAATCTGTTCCAGTGAAAAATTTTTAAAAATAGATAAAATTAAAAGGGCCAGTTAGTTTAGGGGCAGCATGGGTAAATCTTCACAAAAGATTTACAAATGCTTCTTCCTCAGGACTAATGTTTAGTAAGTTTCTCTGACACAGATTTCTTAACCAAGGATGTGCATCAGAAACACATGGAGAAGTTACAAAACACACATGCCTAGGCCCCAATCCTAGATTCTGACGTGGTTAGGTATAGTACAGGGTTTAAAAAACTCCAGTTGTGGCCGGGCGCGGTGGCTCACGCCTGTAATCCTAGCACTTTGGGAGGCTGAGGCGGGCGGATTGTTTGAGCTCAGGAGTT